AAATGATTGCTCACAAACGACCAATCGTTTTTCCCCTGATTAAGTTCACATCGGATAACTAGTAATACTCGAGTGAAGTAAGACAAGAACTGAAAATGAGATATATACCGATATTTACTTCGTACATCATACATTAGCAACAGTTGGATAGATGGCGGGGCTCGAGCTGGCTCTTCTCAGTCTTCAGGAAAAATCTCAAATCCTTTTCAATCAGAATTCGAACATGGTTTTTTCCGCGAGAGGGTTGCTTGAATTCACGCAGTCACTGAAAGATTTTGATACAGATCCTCAAATAAGCGAGAAGGTGGGGGAGGGGATAGAGAGTCGGGTGGTCCTAAACCTGAGCAGGTTAACTTATGCTTACGATTATGATTACTAAGCCTCTATCTGGTGCTACTAGTCTTCACAGTTTTATCCGTTAATGACTTGAACCTTTCTTGACCCACTGTCTTTTGAGGCATTTTTTTTCTGAACTTCACTAACTGGAGTTCGTTCTTACCACTAACTGCCCCCAGTCCACGCTCACTGTCCTAATGCCGATTTTGAAGTGACGCGCCCATAGGACCATGCCCCCTTCCTTTCGTGCGCGACTGGCACCCACCGGTGGGTGTCATGGTCCCAGGAGGAACTCCCTCCTCTGGCTTTATAAACTCAGCAATATTTTTAACAGAAGCATCAAATCTTATTTTATCTCACATTAACCTGAGGCTTGGAATTGCATTCCGTGTTTGGAAGCAGTGAAGGTTAGAATTTTGGTAATAGTGTAAGCAGTGGGAGTTCGTATAACATCCAAGGAACTTGAGGATGAAGAGATCAACCGCGCGGTCACTTAATTGCAAATCAGGTATTCCAATTGCTGCCTCTAATTCTTTGAGTGCGCACACAAATCTCGCCAAAGTATCCAAACCTTCTCAGAACTACTCCAGTGACTATATATGTTTGTAATAAAAAAGCTCCTATAAAACATTAACGTTTAATATAAATACCATGAAGTTTGTCAATAAATATGAGAACGTTGAATAAGTTTCAAATGTGCAAATAAAAGGAAAAACATGGTGGCACCCCAACATTGGGTGCCGTGGTCCCATGCGCCAGTCATAATGGGACCCACTGGTTGGTGCCATGGTCGACAAAGGGTTAATAGAAAAGGCCTAGCGGTCTCTGATTGTAATTGCTTTCCTGAGTCGTTGATTATTTCTTTTCAGCTGCTATCAATCAATTCCACGAAACATCTCAATCCAAACATATCCCACATCACCAACCGAAGTACTTCGAGTCCATTGTCAACACATATTACAGACTCACAGAAGAGAGCTTCCTATAGGCCCTCGACAGCTTATACCAACTGTTATTTATTGCTGTCACCATCTGCCTCTCGCTACTCCTTACCCTATCCGAAAAAGTGCTAAGCTTCCAGTGTTAACCCGAAGGTGATAACAGACCTAGTTGTCCCTGCGTGTGATGATCTTTATTATCACTATCACTTGTGATCGATTTCTATGGCCCGTGTGATCGGAACAAAGGTAATCAATCACAATTAACACTACATATACATAGTCGGAAACTGAGAAAGACACACAACATAAAGTCGGAAACTTTGGCATTCCTTAACCGTAAGTCAAGATTTTAGGCATTAGCGATCACTAAATTTTTTGATTAGCGGCTATTTTGCGAATGGTCCAATTGTTCTAGCCAACATTCTTTGATCATTTTTATATGGTTCTTTATTTAGCTTTGACTCTCGACTAGTATGGAAGAATTGCTCATCCATAACGTACATCCTGGACCAGTCGAATTGTGGTATGCTGATGGATTTCAATTCTTTCTCTCAAAAAAATCCTTTCCCAAACGCAGGGGGTGGTATTTTCCGTGTAAACCGAAGGATGTTGTTCCCGGGCCCAGTATAATGGTAGCAGGGAAAATAAAGCGACAACCCAGAAGGTGCTTTTGTCATCTTAAGTAGGTCTGGTACCAGTTGCCTAACCCAACTATTGGGTGGATCGATAGTCCCGGTTCATAAAGCGTCGACGTCCTAGATCCTCCATTTGATGCTTTTCTTTCAAGGCAAATCGAGAAGTTTGTCACGAAACAGAGCATGCAGTGGGTTTTTTTTTCAAGGCTCCGAAGATGATTGATCATTATGTCGAAGACAGAGTCGTTTAGCTATTATTGAATGCAGTGAGTTCACGTGGAAATACTTTCTGTTGAAACAGCAACACTGTATATGAGGCTAATCCATTTAATAAGTCGAATGATAGCTCTCAAATAATGCGCGTGGTCGTTTCCGTACTGGGATATCCTACTGAAAGAAGATGAAAGAGCTATCAGCATCAGCTTTCATAAATAATTGCAAACGAAGACTTGAATTGCTGGGCACCACGAAGATGCCGTAAGCTTCCTTAAGTCTTTTTTCAAGCTGATCATTACAGGTTCATGTTGGGCAGTCTCCGCTGCTGAAACAATGTCTGATCGTATTTGCGTACAGTCTGGAGGCAAAGTACAGGTGATTCTACTGGACATAGTTAGTAGGTGTATGTATATGCGTTTGAGTGTACGTGTGTGGGTATATGTATATGATTGGACCTTCATAACTTCCGCTGCTGCAGACCTTAAGCATCCAAATTGTGAAAGGAAAGAGAGATAAGATACAAACACCAATCACAGACGAAGAAAAGTGAAAATAACCATCGAGGGCCAGCTGAGGTCTCTAAGTCGAAAAAAAGGCATAACGATAGGGTTATAAGGATGGCGAGCTTCAAGATGGCCAACTGATAGCATTGTCGAGGAATGATATCAAGGAAATAGAAGGTTGTTCATGAAACTAACTGGATATCGGCAGAGCTGCGGACAGTCGTGTTAGCTCAATGAACAGTTAGAATGTTGTGCTTGTCTGTAATGTAGTGCATTAGCGGCTAGAAAATTCCATTTTCAGAAAATGATTTCGGATGTCGATATACTTTCATGCTGTGGACGAATCTGTGGTTTTGGGTGAGTTGACTGTTTGATCAAGGAAAGGCGGATGAGATGTTCACATGAAACTTCCTCCTAATCCCGATCCCTCTATTCTTTGATGAAAGTTATTCGAAAACACCATCTAAAAAATTTGCACAATTTTGAATGCTTCCCGAAATCCATTGTGGAAATTAGCAGCTGCAAGAAATTCAAAGGAAAGCGGGATAATTGCAGATTTTCCTTTCTGGACGTCCTCGAATTTGTTCTAATGGTTTTGTAATGCCTGGGGCATTGAGTAGACCAAATCACTTGCAGGTGTTATGGAGGCTATCCCTACGAAGCCTGGGAGTACGCAAGAAGGATAGGAGTGGTCAGTGGTGGACGGTACAGGGAGAAGGTAAGTGGGAAAGATTTGCAGGATATTGGAGAGACCGGCTTTGAAAACTGCTTCATTGCTCATATTCGATAGAGAAATTTTACTGAGAAATCCTCATTTTGACAGGTGACAGCGTGCATCCCTCACCACTCCTTTGAGGAATTTGTGAGTAATTGAAATAGAGGTGAACAGAAACGCGTTTTCAGGGTGTCTGCAGGCCGTATCCCTTCCATCCATGTGGTCGACATCATGGGGTATTCTACAGTTGCCCACGAGACCACGGATTTGAAACACCAACGTGCAGGAAATATTGCCAATTTGAATACGAAAAACGATATGACAACGATAAGATTTTTGGTATGCCATTTGAATTGCCATTCTCGTGAAGTGCAAGCATACTCTCTAGGCAAACACCCCGGTTTCTGTGATGAGTACATAGATACACAGGCTAACATTGTTGAAATGCTCTGTAGACCCTTCATTAGTTTTTCTGAAGTAATATCTTGGGTTTCGGATCTTGAATTCCGTTTATCTCTGAATTCAGCTAAATCTACATACATGCTTCCAAAGGATGAAACAGCAATTCAAAGAGAAATTATGAAAAATGGACCAGTTCAAGCAGGTTTTATCATTTATGAGGACTTCTTGTTTTACAAAAAGGGAATATACGTGGTGAGCAATTTATATGTATATGTTTAATTGCTTAAATCCTCATCTCACAATCAGTGTTCCGCTTCTTCTTTTCCCTAGCGTTAATCGCGCTCCGTCGCAGGGTCCGCTGTTCCTGTCAGCCTTCTCCATTTCATTCTATCTACGGCATTCTCTGCCGACATCTCCGCTTCGGCGAAGTCTTTCTTGATAAAGTCTCGCCATCTCTTTTCTGGGGCTCCTCGTGGTCGCTTACCTTGGGCCTCAAGCTCCATCGCTTCCCTTCACGGATAGCTCTGTGGTCTTCTCAGTGCGTGCCCGAACCAACGCAGGCGTTGCTCTCTCATCTTCAGTTGCACTGGGGCCGTTTGCACAGCCGGCCTGACGTCTTTATTTCTGACCCATCCAGCCGCGTCCAGCCGCAGGCCCATCTGAGCATTCTCATTTCAGCGTAGGAGCTGAACTTCATGGACTTCATTCAAGGGCCAACACTCACTGCAGTAGAGCATCGTCGGCCTTACCACCTTCCGACACACCTTCCCTTTGAGAGTCTTAGAGCACCGACGGTCGCAAAGGATACCGGTGGACTCATCCATGCCGCATTTGTTCGGGATTTTACGGCCTGGTCCACGCTACCATCAGCGCATAGATCACTCCCAAGGTAGCGAAGTCCTGTACCTTTGATGACTTCTCCGCGACCGTCGACGATTGACTCGGCGCTCTCCTCGGAGCTAATGAACTTAGTCTTCTTCACGTTTAGCCAGAGTCCATTCTCCGCCAATACCCTCTGCCTAATCTGGAGTTGGTCCTGGAGTTCCTTCTTGCTCTCCTCTATCAGAGCGATGTCATCAGCGTAGAGGGTGGTCTTCAGGGGTCCATCCATGAGATCTTCTGTGATGACGTCCATCGTGAGCAGGAAGAGGAACAGGCTAAGAGCTGATCCCTGGTGTACCGCAACTGTTACATCTATTGCTCCGGTTTGGCAGTGTGGGGTGCGTATTGTCGTGGTGGGGCCATCGTGCAGAGAGATCAGGTGTTCTGGAACCTTTCATTTTCGGAGCGCTTTCCAAAGGACTTGTCACCGGAGACGGTCGAAAGCCTCCTCCAGGTCGAGGAAGGCTACGTACCAGGGTCTGGGCTTTCCTTGATACTTCTCCATAACTTGCCTAGCTATGAATAGGCGACCGTTGTGGACCTTTTAGGCAAGAAGTCGATCTACTACTGTGAGTTTGGGACCAATTCCCTCAATTTTGAGTCGACGAGCCGCTCGTACAGTTTCATCGTGTGAGCAATCAGCCGGATCTCCCGGTAGTTGNAGATGGGAACGATAGTGCTCCTCCTCCACGCATCTGGGATTCTTCCTTCAGCGGTGAAATTGTTCAGGAATCGGGTGAGCCAATTTATCCCGTGCTCTCCGAGCGCTTTCCATGCCTCGATCGGTACTCCATCCGGACCATTTGCCTTCCCAACTTTCATCTTTCCCATTGCTTTACGCACCTCATTCTTTGTCCAGACATTGATGGGGCTAGCCGCCCGTCGAAGTATTCCTTCCACCTGCGCCTGACCTCGCCAGGAGTCCTCAGGATTGCACCCTCGTCCCTCTTCCTGACGGGCTTCACTACCCCGATACCCTGAGTGGCGCGATGACGCGCTTCCGCCAGGCGGAAGACGAACTTCTCTCCTTCTCGACTGACGAGCTTCCCATGCAAGGCGTCCATTTCCGTGTTCTTTGCCTTCGTGACAGCAGCCTTGGCAAGCCTCTTGGAGGATATGTAGGCAGCTCGAACCTCTGGAGCTCGTGTCCTTTGCCAGTTCTTGTAAGCCGATTTTTTCTGCCCCTCGTTGGACTTCATCATCCGAGAACCATGCTTGCTTGTCCCCTTGGGAACCACTTCGAGTTTCCACCAGCATTTCCTTTGCACACCGCAGGATGACCTTCACAGCGTTGTTCCAGGTCTTCTGGATTGGCCCTTCAGGATTTGGAAGTCCAGCTTCTAGTACCTTCTTTGAGGTGTTCTCTTTCGACTCTGTTCGGCCTCCACCATCGGATCCTCCGTTCCGTTCTTGTTCTTGATTTCTTGGGAAGATCGATGGCTATGTCTGCTAGAAGGTCTGTGCTGTGGAACTTGCAGTTTTGAGGGACGATCTTCTTACTAGCACATGATCCATTTTCCTTTCTTTCCCTCCACTGCTGTAGGTTTCCTTCTGGAATTCCTTTTCGCGAAGAAGGTGCAGCAGACTGACAAGTCGTTGGCTAGGGCAAAGACTCTCTCTCCTTCATCGTTGCTGGCTCCTTCCCCTTCGGAACTGATCGGATGGCTTCGTCAAGGTCCAGATAGAGCTCACCCTTTTCATAGAAGGGGCAGCCGGCTTGAGGTGCGTAAACTGATATTACTGCCTAGTACCCATCCTTCGGGTCTATGCTCACAGCTGTGTTTCGACTGCTGATCCTATTGACGACGGAGACAGAGTCTTTCAGAGACGCCGCTGCTATGGCCACACCATTTCGTTTGGTGTCTTCTCCGTTGTAGAAGAGTTTGACACCCTCCTCATTTTCTTTGACCTTTGCTCAATTCTAGCGGGTCTCCTAAAGACATAGGACTTTTATGTTCCTGCGCTTCATAAGATCAGCGACCTCCCGGGACTTCCCAGTAGCGATCCCACATTTAGAGTCCCTACTCGAACTAACTTCTTTGGCCGAGATCGTCCACTCCTCGGTAGCCCTCGCATACTGTTCACAGAAACTGCGGGCGGGGCCCTGTGCGCCACTCCCGGGTGACGTTCTAGCCTTATCACCGATACTCTTTAAGGCTTTAGACATATTTGTTGCGACTGGTTTCTCTATCAGCCGGCCTGTGAACCTGGGCCTGACGCTGAACCGAACACCCTTTTTGGAATCTTTAGAAGGCATGGAATTGCCTCTTCATTTATCGAACTCGCATTCCCTCTGGGTGCAGAGGTGAGCCTACACTTTTATTCACTCGGCTATCCCTGCCTCCTGATCTCACAATCAGTAGAAGTCAAGATTGAAAGGCATATCATTTGGCGGTTTAAACCCTGTGCTCAACATTAAAACTTCA